AGGGAGCCAGTAATTTACCTGGTTAAAGAAAAACGAGTGGAGTAAGTTCTTGGAACTGTGTGTGCTTAATGCATTATTGAAAGCTTTGTGGTACATAAAGACGTTACTCAGTCAAATTGCAATTAATTTAAAACACCCTTCCTTAAAGCTTTAGCAAAAAAAAAAAAAAAAAAAAGGGTGGGGGCAGAAAAAGGAAGACTTTTTTTTTTCTTCCAAATAAAATTAATAGTTATTAGTGATAAAAGCCTTTCTCCAGAAAAAGATCACTCCCTTTTAAAAGGGCAAATTTTTAAATGTCAATGTCTAATAATACTAGTAAATGGCATCCTTATTTAATTTAGCTTGACCAGTTTTTTGAGTAGTGTTTTCTGTAAATGTACATGTATTAGAAAAATGCTTTGTTAGTTCAGAGCTTGTCTCCTTGTAGTTGTAACTAAGAGATCCCCAGATGGTTTTGAGATGTTTTCATAAATATGTACAGTTTATGAAAACAGTACTTATTTACTGTTTAGTGTCATTTATATAAAATATGTGGACATTGAGATTTTTGTATTATGTTTTGTTGACTCAGGAATCTAATTAAAATACTGCATAATATATTAGCCTGAAAGAAAAACTGAATATGGTAGTTTCGTTCATATTAGGGTTCTTTTTTTTTTGGCGGGATGGGGAGTTATTCTATAAGTTGCATTGAGTTCTGGGGTATCATTTGTTTAGAAAAACTTGAGAATTGGTTTCTTCTCAAGAAAGTGTGGAATACAGGAAAGACCAGCTTTTGGAGTGTGGTCAACCAAGATTTGAATATTGGCCCTGCCATTTTCTAGCAGTGGAATTCCAGGCAAATTATTTAATCTTTTTGAACAGAGTTCTTTATCTTCTTAAAGTGGGATAATAATTTCAACTTCATAGGGTTTGGAAATAATTAAATGAGATGGCAACAAGTCAAAGCACTTATTTAATACAATACTGTACATTGTAGTCATTCAATAAGTGCTCCATTTATCAATGAAATTTTAATTCTTTTGCAATTCACCTGTGAAATGTTAGAATGATTTTCAACAGCTTTGCACATAGTTACGTTAATTTTTTTTTGACTGGAGGAAGAAAATGATTGGGTGGGACCAGGACATTATAGATGCACATTACATAAAGCTTTATTATTAGGACACTGTAAAACTGTTATTGAAGGTTATTCAGAAATAATTTAGTACTCTAATTTACGCAAGAAAATATTTTATTGGTACAGTCCATTTAAAATTAAAATGTACTCTTTGAGAATTAGGTTTCAAAAATCAGGAACATTTAGGTTCTTTAACATAAACTATCATATAACTTTAAGATACTGTATGTTTTCTTTTGAATTTTAATTTAATTTTGGCTTTACATTTATAGACTTGAATATCTTAATCATTCTACTAGATATTGCACTCATTTATCTGATAATTAGGTACCTAGCAATCTCAGTTATGTGGAACCTTGTATTTAAAAGAAGATGGCTTAAAGCCACCTTTATAATTGAATATGAAATGAAGAATAGTGGCTTCCTAATAATGCTTCCCTAGATTAGACATAGTGAAGAGCATGTAATGGAGGAGACCACTAGAAACTTTTACTTTGAAACAACTATTCTGAGGAAGAAGTTCCATTTTATTTTATCTTATTCACATCCTTTAATTATGTATATCACACGTAAATTATTCAATATGGAAAAAAAAACAGTCAAGCAATGTATTTGAAGCAGTAATGGAAAATTCTTCTTTACCCCCAATCTCCCTTACTACCAGTTGCACTTTGATCTCATTTTCCTAATAGTAAACGCTATTAACAGAATAGCACGTGTCTGTCTACAGCTTACTCTGTGCTGTCATATCGCAGTGTTTGTTTAAACGTACATGGATTTATACATATTCTGCATCTTTTTTCCCTGTTATTATCTTGGTGATCTTTTTGATGTATTGTAAATCTACTTCAGTATATTTAACAGTTATTTGGTATTCCAAAGGATGATTATTCCACAGTTAACCATTCCTCTGCCAATGCTCTCCAGACAATGATGCCAGGTACACATCTATAGTTGAACACATTGGACTTATTACTTTTTGCAGCAGAGGAGAATGCATACCATGCGGAACCATAGGGTATCTCAGAAGATGTTAGAAGGGACTTATTGTAGGATTGAGCTTATATTAGATGATTTGGGGGGAGGATTTAAGAGAGTGGGGCTTTGCTCTGGATTGGATACTGTTAGGAAACTGGATAATTCCATGATGGATATCTTAATAAGTCTTATCCAGAAGAAGGGAAGAAGACTGGACCAAGGCTCAAGCTGTGGTTAGTAATAGTGGCATGGATTAGGGTCCTGTTTGTAGCTTTGGCAATGTACATGTTTTATCTGTGTTCAGATACCATTACAGGGTGATGCTGTTTTTGTCTTGTTCTGTTATGGTGACAGAGGTCACACAGCGGCCTTGTCTGATGACGATGTTCTGTGAAGTTGTTTATGTTCATCAGGAGAACATAGCTGTTAGTGTCACCAGCTCATAGCAAAACCAAGGCCTAGCTGATACTACCAGGCTAGCACTGGGATGCCAAGGGCTGCTATTTTCTTACTACTGTTGATAAACAGCTAGGTTGTATCTTAGTTTTTATTGACACAGCTTTTCATTTTCATCGTTAAAATAAACATTCTCGTTATATGGATCTTAGTGTACATGTGCAAGTATTCTTATAATATAAATTCCTAGAAGTGGAATTATATTAAATGGTATATAATGCATGATAAAATTTGATTTATAATCATTGCTGAAAGCCTATACTTATTTCTGTTCCCACCAACAGGGCACCTTAGCCAAGAATAGACATTAACAGTCTGAGATTTTTTTTTTCTGGCTAATAGAGATATCTTATTATTTTAATCATATATTTTTTTTACTAGTGAGTTTGAGCATTTTGCTCATTTTTTTTTAAAGCCATAGTTTTCCTGTTCATATTCTTTTCCCATTAAAAAAAATTTAATAACCTTGTCTTTCTTGTTGAGTTTTAAGGGTACTTCGTATGTTATAGATATTAGTACTGCTTTATATTTGTGGCAAGTATTTCTCTCCCTACCTCCTATATGTCTTTTATTTACATAGGAAGGCTTTCTCCACCTTGAGATTATTAAAACATTATTAATCTTCTAGCACAGTTATTTTACTTTTCCCTTAAGACATTTATTTTATTAATCTATCTGGAGTAAGGAATATTTTTGTGTAATTTTTTCCCTAAAGATCCCTAGTGTTCCACTATCATTTGTTGACCAGTCCATTTCCTTCACAGTAATTGGAAATACCACATCATGTTCTAAATGCCTACGTAGACATCAGCCTGCAGTAAAATTTCTCTTACTTGCCCTTCACTTAACTAACTGGGTTAACTGATATTCTCTATTCTCTTTGAATAACATACTGACTGAAGACCACGGTAAGCTTAATGTTTATTGCCAGTAGTCTACTCAGTACTATGCTGTTACAATTCTGTTTCTGTTAGTTGAGCTTTACATCACTAATACCCAGATTTTGTCATTCTAAAAACTTTATGCCAGCTGTGTTTGTCGTTGCATTTTCATTATTTAATGCAATATTATGTAAATCAGTAAAATATGAGTACAGAAAGAAGGAAAGTTGCTGTTTTAAAGAAAATTGCATGCTTTAGAAAGAAACAGTCACTAAAAAACTTGAGGCTAATAAGGACATAGTTTACTTAAATTTTTTTAATATGTACATATATTGATCTAAACAGTTCTAGGAGTAGGGAATGAAATACATGAATCAAGGATTATTTTTATACTGCAGGAAAACCTGTTAACTAAAAACTAAAACAACAATAAAAAATTAATTGAGGGCTTCCCTGGTGGCGCAGTGGTTGAGAATCTGCCTGCCAATGCAGGGGACACGGGTTCGAGCCCTGGTCTGGGAAGATCCCACATGCCGCGGAGCAACTAGGCCCGTGAGCCACAACTACTGAGCCTGTGCGTCTGGAACCTGTGCTCCACAACGGGAGAGGCCGTGATAGTGAGAGACCCGCGCACCGCGATGAAGAGTGGCCCCCGCTTGCCACAACTAGAGAAAGCCCTCGCACAGAAACGAAGACCCAGCACAGCCAAAACTAAATGAATTAAATTTAAAAAAATTAATTGAATTGAATACAGTTTGATATATGAGAGGAAATTTATTTTCTCAGTTGTAGCCCTTTTTATATATTTTCTTGTAAAACATTTTAATGATGTGTAATCCATCTTACAACTTTATATTGTAAGGACATATACATGATAAAAATGTGTCAACAAAAACCCAAGCTGTTAATAACATAATACAGCATTTTCATACCACAGGAATGTCCGTGTAGGCATTTAGAACATGATGCAGTATTTCCAATTAGTTAAAAATACTGATCATTAATTTTAAACTTAGAAGAATGAAGACTAGATTACTGCATTGTATTAGTTTTCTGCCATATTGCTATGTAACAACTTACTTCAGAGCTTAGTGACTTGAAACAAATGTTTGTCATCTCACAGTTTCAGTGAGAAATCAGAGTGGCTTAGCTTGGTGGTTCTGTTCCAGGGTTTCTCAAGAGAATGTAGCCGAGGTGTCAGCCAAGACTGCAGTGATCTGAAGGCTTTACTAGGGCTAAAGTGTACACTTCCAAAATGATTCACTCACAGGGTGCTGGTTTTTGTCAGGAGCCCTCACTTCCTCCTCATGTGTGTCTGCCATGTGCAATCCAAGAGAAAGCAAGATAGAAGATGTAAAGTCTTTTATGACCGAGTCCGAGAAGTCACATACCATCACTTTTATTTCTTCGAAGTGAGTCAGTGGGACAGCTCACACTGAAAGGCAGGGGAATTAGGCACCTACTCTTGAAGAGGAGCGTAACCAGTGCACTGAAGATATTTACTCTGTGTGTGTATGGGTCACGGAGAGGGCGGGATTCATTTATAATGTTTGGCTTCTTTTTAGGACACTGCCTTAGGAAAACCACGAGAGGTGTTTCGACTTCCTACAGATTTGATAGCATATGACAATCGCCTTTGCGCATCCATGCATTTCACATCTTCTACTTGGGTTACCTTGTCAGATGGAACTGGAAGATTGTATCTCATTGGAACGGGTGAACGTGGAAGTAGTGCTTCTGAAAAATGGGAGGTGAGTTTTTTTTTTCTTCTTTAGACTTAGCAAAGTCTGGAAAGTATATTCAAATTAGATCTTAATGATTTTGAAATAACACTTTTTTAGGGATAGTTTACATGTGACCTCTTGATTTTTATAATATATAATGTTTTGGATATCTTTTTAAGTTAAATTATAAAATGTATACCTTTTATGAAACTGATATATTAGCTATTCCTGTTTTGATCTGGGGTGCGTGCAGTTGTCAAGAATTGCATTTGCTTTTCAGCAAATACCTATTGAGTGTTTTATAAGTGTAAAGCAGTACACTAAGCAATGATGCTGCCACCTTCTTCTTCTTGAAGAGTTGGCCAGAAAATTGCATTGTCATGTCTTTTCTCCTCTACTCTTGTTTTATTTGCTGGTATGTTTAAGGGCCCAGCACACTGCTGCACCACTCTGCTAACTGTCTGGTATGTTTAAACTGGTCAAATAGTAACTATACCAGAGTATTCCCAACTTAGAAAAATATACTGTAGAATAAATAACTATAGTTACGTACCAGTCTCCAAGATGTCATTTTTACTTCAGTTTTTTAAAAACAATGTAACAGACTTAAATCTGAGGGGCAGGTGTTAGGATTTTAATAGTAATAAATATGGAATTATTTTCTCTAGAGCCACAGTTTTTGAAGGTAGAGAAGAATGACACTGAGTTGTGCTAATAAGTACAATGTGATATTGCTACTGTCTAAATCTCAGCAGGTGGCCTTTCGTTCTGGGTAGCTAAAGCGATATGAATTTAATATTTTACATCTTATAAAATATTTTTATCAGACCAATAGATGCCTACAAAGACCAGGCTTTAATTATTTGAGAAAAACCAAGAAGGCCTTAGTGGTTTACCTTTCTTACTAAGTTATACCAAATGCTATACTTCCAAATTGTAGTATGTTCAAAAAACTAAACAAAAAACACAGTAAATTATCAGAATAACAATAGCCTGTTTATAGGGGGCCTTTGTAGTCACAGTTTCAAATAGTTATTGGACATTGTGACATTTTCTGTTCTGGCCTCCAGTAATAACTTTTTTTTTTTTTTTTTCCTTGCTGAGGCAATGTGGTATATAGCACAGCTACCTGAAATAGTTGGAAGGAATTTGGAGAATGATGGGCAGGAGAGATATGAATGAGAATTTATCTGTTATCAAGCCGTGTGGATTCTGTTGGTTTTCAGTAGTAAGAAACACACTGACCTTGTTCACCTTCAGATTAAAAATAACACCACATATTCCACCAGAAGGAAATTCATATGGGTTTATATTTCATTTGGTTTCTGCTGTGTATATCTCCTTGGCACATATTAGGCCTTCAATAATATTTTGTAAATGAATTAAAAATTTAAATTCACTCTACATCCTCTTCAGTATTTGTACTATCATAATGAAATCAACACCCTCTGGGGAGGTTGGGGGAGTGGGAAAGGGATGGGACTTGGGCATTACTGAGGTGGGAGGAATACTGAGGGATATTGGTCGCTTTGAGAGAAATAACTCAGTAGAGTTTCGAGACTTTGGGGGAATTCGTGTAAGAGAGGAGGCTAAAGGTGAGCATGACGGGGGCATGGTAGGGCCTAAGGGGGCCAAGCAAGCGTGGTGGTGATGACTCAAATGTAGAAAGAGAAATAAAAGAAGGCAAGGAGGACTGCCTGTTTCCAAATGTGTGGCCTCTAATGTGATGGGGGTGCTCTATATCAACAATATCACAGTTGATTTGCTAGGTTTGTTCAGAAGACTGGAAACTTCAGCCTAAGAATTTTTTTAAGAGTCCAGACATCTACTCCTCTGGTCTCATGAGAGAGAAAGAAGAGAAGGAAACAGTAAACTGGCTACTTGTGCTTGGCAGAACTTTCAGTTTTTTCTCCCTGTGGTTTATTTCTTCTTGTCCCCCAAACAAAAGCAGAACCCAGTCAACCAACTATAAAAAACCATGTCTGTCATCTCTGTTTTGAGTATTTGAGGTGTTTTTGGTTTTTTAACCCTGCTTATGGCAGACTTTAGAATGGATTTCAAAGCTCTACTATTCGAATAATTTTGGCAGAGTTGCTCAAACACAAAGAGAAAATGATGACATTAAAGCACACTTTTCTTTTTTTTTATTTTCTTTTACTTTTTATTTTGCGGTACGTGGGCCTCTCACTGCTGTGGCCTCCCCCGCTGCAGAGCACAGGCTCCGGACGTGCAGGCCCAGAGGCCATGGCTCATGGGCCCAGCCGCTCCGCGGCACGTGAGATCCTCCCGGACCGGGGCACGAGCCCGTGTCCCCTGCATCGGCAGGCGGACTCTCAACCACTGCACCACCAGGGAAGCCCTTCTTTTATTTTTTATTGAAATATAGTTAACTTACAATGTTTTGTTAGTTTCTGGTATACAGCAAAGTGATTCAGTTTTACATATATATATTCTTTTTCATATTCTTTTCCATTATCGTTTATTACAAGATACTGAATATGTTCCCTATGCTATACAGTAGGATCTTGTTGTTTATCTGTTTTATATATAGTAGTTTGAATCTGCTAATCCCAAACTCCTAATTTATCCCTCTTCCCCTTTGGTAGCCGTAAGTTTGTTTTCTGTGTCTGAGTCTGTTTCTGTTTTGTAAGTAAGTTCATCTGTATCATATTTTAGATTCCACATATAAGTGATGTCATATGGTATTTGTCTGACTTACTTCACTTAGTATGATATTCTCTAGGTCCATCCATGTTGCTGCAGATGGCATTATTTCATTCTTTTTTATGGCTGAGTAGTATTCCATTGTATGTATACCACATCTTCTTTATGCATTCATCTGTCAGTAGACATTTAGATTGCTTCCATGTCTTGGCTATTGTAAATAGTGCTGCTGTGAACATTGGGGTAAAGCACATTTTTCTTTATAAGGCTTTCAGGTAGGAGCTGATATGAGGGGATTCCAGATAATGGGTTTAAAAAGAATAAAAAAGCTAATTTTTGTCTCAGATTAGTATTCAGCTATTTATTTTTTCATTTATTTGAAAAGCTTGTTTAGAAATTAGTCTTAAAACCTCTCCTATTTGGTATTTAATAAAAATATAATAGTCTTTTAGATTATGTGTTTGTCTTATAAAAAGAATTTGATAAGATTTTGTGTGTCTTTGCATAATGCTTTGATTCGCTTTTTAAAAAGGAGCTTCAGTATTTAAATAGCGTTGGTGGAATTATACCTTTTAAATGTAAGTGGGCTCTTTTGTTTTTGAAGAACAAGAAAGTTTTTGTGATTTGTTCTCTAATTCCTTTGACTCTTACCTTTGTAAATTTCCAGAAAACAAAGAAAAACAAACCAAACCAAAAACAAAAGGAAAAAAAACATACACACACCCACTCACAAATACACACGAACTGTATTCAGAAACTAAGAGGAAGAAAGCAGAAATAAATCAGAGATGAGACAGGGGAAGAGATGCAGTAATGCATGTTGACTTGCTCATGTCCTGTACAGAACATTCTTTAAACTTGACAATTCTTTTCTAGAAGATTGCTTTTAATTCCCTTTCTCCTTTAGATGCTGTTTGGATGCCCTGTTGTTTTCTTTGTTTTTAAGCCATGAGTACTGATCAGTTTTTTCTGTTAAACAATTAGATATTTTCCAAAAGTTCTTTCTTCAAGCAATATGGTTTAAACTTGTAAGCTTTATTTAAGGGCTTTTTTCATTTTTGTATCCTTGTAGTAAATATGGATAGTATCCGAGTTATTTGTTGGATTGTCAGAATTCTGTATTTTTCCTCTGTGCCGTATACATTCATCTAATACATTTTTGTGAGTGTCATCTTTTTTCTTTTTTGTAGATTATGTTTAATGAAGAGCTTGGAAATCCTTTTATCATAATTCACAGTATCTCATTGCTGAAAGCTGAAGAACATTCGATAGCTACCCTGCTTCTTCGAATAGAGAAAGAGGAATTGGATATGAAAGGAAGTGGTTTCTATGTTTCCTTGGAGTGGGTCACTATTAATAAGAAAAGTAAAGGTAAAACAACAAAAATCTGATCTCTCTGTAGTGGTTGCCGTAATTTAGTAGGTTTTGAAATGCAAAGAAGTTCCTGTAAATGCTATTTGCTTTTTCTTAGGCACTGTGTTATGATTCTGGTATCTGCCACCTGGTGGAATGAATATTTATAGATAGTTTCTCCTTAGGTATGGATTATAAAAAAATAATAATGTGTTTCCATAGTCAGATGTGCCTTTTTGTGTAAAAGGAGACACTATTACATAATTTTGGAATAATTTAAGTGTATATTTTTAATATATACAAAAGTATATGTTAATATGTGTATGTGTATGTATATATACACACACACACATACACACACACACACACACACACACAGACACAAGATTTGTTCTTCGAAATATTTAATGTAATTTGTTTTTTCTTTCCAGTGTTGTAGTTTTATCTCTGGAGGAACACAGTAACTGAAAACTTCAGATTACGTGTTAGAAAGTTTCTGTAAAGGGCTAGATGGTAACCATTTGACTTATGTCATAACTACTCAACTATGATGTTGTGGTGCAAGAGCAGCCATAGATGAATACATAAATGAATGAGTAAGGCTGTATTCTGGTGTTTATGGACACTGACATTTGAATTTTATATAATTTTTACATGTTTTTAAATATTCTTTTGATTTTTTGTGATTTAAAAATATAAAATTCATTTTTTGGCTCACAACTTTCTTTTCTTAATATCTCAGTTCCTCTTGTCCCTGAATTACTAACATAATTGTGTTACTTTTTATTTTCCCTGAACATTACAGAGCAGTGTTATATTTCTAAACTCTTTTGAGTGGAACATTTGATAAGTTATATTTTATGGTCAAGTAAGTTTGAAAATGTGGGCATACGATATCTCCATTTCACATTAAGCATATTCAAGTTTCTAGAAATTTTGAGTAGAAAAAATTTAATTTTGACCCAGCATTTCCCAACTCATTTAGCCATGGAATAATTCACTTGAGACCTACTGTTTTCTGTCCCACACATGTTGGGAAAAACCATCCAATAAAATATACAGTGTCTAAGTTTGGGTCTTTAGAGGAAGGTAGGACTCTTTGCTGTGAATGTACCTGTGGAGGAAAAATAGGAGTTTTTATTTCATTCATGAAATGAAAAGTCTATTCCTAAATATGTATGAAGTGAATGTGTGAATGTAGGTGAGGATTTAGAGAAAAAACACTGACAGATGTTTTAGAACAAATTGTATTATTATGTATGTATATGTGTTACTATGTGTAACTCATGACATTGAGTTATGATTTTTGACTGTTCATTATGAAGCTTACAAGCACTACCCACTGTAATAAAAATTTGTTACCCACAGTAACAATATAAGTAAAGGTACGGACTCAACTGAAATGTTTGGGTACTTTTTAAAGCAAAAAACAAAGACAAAAACCCCTTATTTTCATAGAATAAATTCAGTTAATTTACCAGAAACTCAGAATACAGTTAATTGTTTATATCTTAAAAATTCCAAGCACAGTTATTTATATTTGGTTATAGTAGGCAGATAGATCTATATCTGAATGTGTATAAAAATCATTTCTACCATAAACATATTTCATTTAAAAAAAAACCCTTATCAGTAGCTAGAATGGGAAGAAAATAGTCCACACCACACTTTTTCTGGTGTCATCAGTTTGTAGCTTTTTTCAGAAGACACTTATCATATACTGGCTGAGAAAGTAGACAGGCTGGCTGTAGTGAAGGAACGGGTAGTTTTTTCAGAGGTTGATGTTTCAGGTAAGGCAGTCACTTTTATGATTTAGAGCACTGCTCTCCAACAGAAATTTTTCCAAAATGGACGTGTTTATATGTGAGCCACTCAGTGTGATAGCAGGTAGCCATGTGTGGCTTTTGAGCACTTGAAGTGTGGCTAGTGTGACTGAGGCATTGAATTTCAAATTTTACTTAACTTTAATTAAATAGCTACTCTGGCCAGTGGCTACCACTTGGACACCACAATCTAGAACAAATTTCATCAGACCCAGTATTTTTTTTTTAACATCTTTATTGGAGTATAATTGCTTTACAGTGGTGTGTTAATTTCTGCTTTATATCAAAGTGAATCAGCTATACATATACATATATCCCCATATCTCCTCCCTCTTGCATCTCCCTCCCACCCTCTAGGTGGTCACAAAGCACCAAGCTGATCTCCCTGTGCTACACGGCTGCTTCCCACTAGCTATCAGTTTTACATTTGGTATTATATATATGTCCATGCCACTCTCTAACTTCATCCCAGCTTACCCTTCGCCCTCCCCATGTCCTCAAGTCCAGTCTCTATGTCTGCATCTTTATTCCTGTCCTGCCCCTAGGTTCATGAGAACCACTTACTTTTTATTCCATATATATGTGTTAGCATACAATATTTGTTTTTCTCTTTCTGACTTACTTCACTCGGTATGACAGACTTTAGGTCCATCCACCTCACTACAAATAACTCAGTTTCGTTTCTTTTTATGGCTGAGTAATATTCCATTGTATATATGTGCCACATCTTCTTTATCCATTCACCTGTCAGTGGACACTTAGGTTGCTTCCATGTCCTGGCTGTTGTAAACAGAGCTGCAGTGAACATTGTGGTACATGACTCTTTTTGAATTATGGTTTTCTCAGGGTATATGCCCAGTAGTGGGATTGCTGGGTCGTATGGTAGTTCTATTTTTTAGTTTTTTAAGGGACCTCCATACTGTTCTCCATAGTGGCTGTATCCATTTTACAGTCCCACCAGCAGTGCAAGAGTGTTCCCTTTTCTCCACACCCTCACCAGCATCTATTGTTTGTAGATTTTTTGATGATGGCCATTCTGACTGGTGTGAGGTGATACCTCATTGTAGCTTTGATTTGCATTTCTCTAATGATTAGTGATGTTGAGCATCCTTTCATATGTTTGTTGGCAGTCTGTATATCTTCTTTGGAAAAATGTCTGTTTAGGTCTTCTGCCCATTTTTGGATTGGGTTTTTTGTTTTTTTAATATTGAGCTGCATGAGCTGGTAAATTTTGGAGATTAATCCTTTGTCAGTTGTTTCATTAGCAAATATTTTCTCCCATTCTGAGGGTTGTCTTTTTATCTTGTTGATGGTTTCCTTTGCTGTGCAAAAGCTTTTAAGTTTCATTAGGTCCCATTTGTTTATTTTTGTTTTTATTTCCATTTCTCTAGGAGGTGCAGACACAGTATTTTAAAATAGGGATTTATTTACAGAATATTAGGTTGTAAATTTTTTTTATCCTTTTTAAAAAAGGTACCTAATAGTGTGCTTTTTAATAGTACATTTAAAATATTTAGTTTAAATTAGAATTAATATACAAATATATTCAAATATTTTTATTATATAGTTTTTTATTTGTGATTTTTTTGTTCTAAAATGCTTTATTTTCTTACAGATAAAAAAAAATATGAAATTACTAAGCGTAATATTCTCCGTGGAAAGTCAGTGCCCCATTATGCCGCTATTGAGCCCAATGGGAATGGTCTAATGATTGTCTCTTACAAGTCCTTTACATTTGTTCAAGTTGGTCAGAATCTTGAAGAAAGTAAGGATGAAGACATGTCAGAGAAAATCAAAGGTAATTTTACTTCGAATATCCATAGAGCTCCTGTGTAAAATATATCTGATTTGTCCTCCCAGCTAGGTTATGAGTTTTACCAGGTCAAGATAGGTGCTTAATTTTTATTTTCCTTTATATTTCCCAGAATGGTCTTTTATAAAATATACCACCTAAGTAGTGTGAACTGTTCAATTTAATACTTTTGTAATTACCAAAAATGTTTTTAAAACCTATATATTATCTTACCTGATTAGATATTTAATAAATACTTAATGAATGAATAAACAAATACTAATGTCTACTTGTTGTTGGTGTTTGAAAATCCAGCATATTAGTATTGTCAATAATAATTTTTAAAAATAAGCTAACCTCTGTTCATTATAGGTGTCCTAATTACACGTTCTTATCTTTCATACTAAACTGAAAGAAGGTTCCTTGGGGGTAGAATCACTAAGTTTTCTCAGTGTTGCATTCATTCATGAATGCATGAGTGAATGAATGAAGGTAATGTTTTAGAATGAAAAGAGTAAAAAGGTCTTTCAGGAGAAATTTATATTTGTATACAAAGAGTACATATTCTTTAAAAGTATTCCAGAGAACATTTTTCTATAATCATTACTGTTTATATTTGTGGTATTTATAGCCAGGGACTAGTATATTTTACTTAACAGAGATTTTCACAATATTTAACAATTATATATATTACTCTTTGAATCTACCCTTTTTATTACTTTAACAACTTAATTATTTAAAATAAAAATTAGTTTCACTATTTTTATAAGTATATTTTTATATACTTTTCCAGGTTTGTAAACATGTACAACTCCAATTATAAGGGTTGTGCTTGGTAGCGTTTTATTTAGCGTCTTGTGATGTTTTTATGTGAGATCCCTTTCTGAATAAATTCTACTATTTTGTCTTAATTATAATGTTAAACTCTCCTAAAGCTTAGCCAGAGCAGCTATCCATATCTCTAGACCACATGCGCTTTAGAACTCCTTTGGTGAGCGATTGTGGAAGAATGAAAGACTGCCTTAATCCTTAGAACCAGTCTGCCTAGTAGCTAGGACCATGTGGTTCCAAGACAGATTTGCAGGCTAGTTGGGACACATCATGTGTTTAAATCACTAGCCACTAGTCCAGTGTTTCTTTTGTTGACATCTCACACTATATTTTGCGTTCCTCCTGAATTCGTTTTTCCCTTTTAGTGTAAACCACAAGTCCCTTCCATTTTTCTGTTTCTTTTCTAATAAATAGCCCTTTCTTGTACCCACTTTCTCTTGGGAAATTTCTTCTGTATTTATTTTATCATTGGACTTTCACAATAAGAAAGGAAAATTGTTCTAATTTTTAAAAATTATGCATAGTTTGTTAATTAGTATGCTTTCTTTTAAGCACTCTTTTGAGTATGTATACCGGTTTCATTTTCTATAAACTTCAAGAAGACTGATATTATCTATTACCCATTTGGTATTGTCATGATATTATAAATAATGATATTTTCTTTGAAGACCTAATACAGTCTGTAGAGATATAGAAAGGTACTCAAAGCAACCAACAATGGAAAAAATTATTTAGGTGTCTGTATAGTTTTGATGGAGAGGAGAGTAAGAAAATTCTGGCTTTCTCTTTAGTCTATGTCCATGGCCTTAATTTATACTAAAAGCTCATGTGATTTTGCAGGTTCCTCCCATCCCCATATCTGGCAGAAATTCTATATTTCATGATTATTATGTATAAACTGCCTTGTTAATGTTTGTGCGAGACGAGGGATGAGTAAAACATTTCTTAGAGAGCTTATAGTATGTCTTTTAAGCTATATTTCAAGCATTTTCAGTAACTTTTTATTAAAAGTACTTCGAAAGGCAAAAGATAGAGGATCTGAGACTTAAAGGAATGTGATGCAAGTTAGATATTACCCCGAAGTAACAATTTTATCCTAAAAATTCATGCTTTTTTTTTTTTTTTTTTTTGCGGTACGCGGGCCTCTCACTGTTGTGGCCTTTCCCCTTGTGGAGCACAGGCTCCGGACGCACAGGCTCAGCGGCCATGGCTCACAGGCCCAGCTGCTCCGCGGCATGTGGGATCTTCCCGGACCGGGGCATGAACCTGTGTCCCCTGCATTGGCAGGCGGACTCTCAACCACTGCGCCACCAGGGAAGCCCCCCATGCATTTTTTTTTAAATTTATTTTATTTTTGGCTGCGTTGGGTCTTCTGTTGCTGCGTGTGGGCTTTTCTCTAGTGGCGAGCAGGGGCCTCTTGTCTTTGCGGTGTGCGGGCTTCTCATTGCGGTGCCTTCTCCTGTTGCAGAGCACGGGCTCCAGGCGCGTGAGCTTCAGCCGTTGTGGCTCGCAGGCCTCCAGAGTGCAGGCTCAGCAGTTGCGGTGCCTGGGCCCAGTTGCTCCGCAGCATGGGGGATCCTCCCAGACCAGGGCTCAAACTTGTGTCCCCTGCATTGGCAGGCAGATTCTTAACTGCTGCACCACCAGGGAAGCCTGCATGTTTTATATTTATTTCTATATTATCATATTTGTTACAAGAAAAATTTTAATTTCAGATAAAAGCGACCCTTCCAGGAGACACACCATGCTTATGCTATATCTTTCAGCATATCAAGTACCCCCCCAAGTTTTAACATAAAACCACACAAAAATAAAAAGAGTAATAACCCACATTTAGTGAGAGTTTATAATATATTTAGCTAACAGAATTGATATTAAATGTTTTACATGCATTAACTCATTTAAATGTCACCAGTCAGTCCTAAGAGGTGTGCAATATTCTGTTACACTGTTTCACAGATTAGAAAAATGAGGATTAGAGGTATAGTTGTGTATCAGAATTATTAAATGGTTGAACCAGGATTCAGACCGTGGACTAGCCAACTCTGGAGCACTAGTTCCTAACAGCCCTGTTATATTCCTTTCTGATGAGTGGATAGACAGATTAATGTTTATGGATGCCATTAAGCAAATATTTATTCATTTTGCATTTAAGCCCTATTTTCCTACTTCCGTGGTGATAGTATGATGGGTCTCAAAGTGTCTCTTTAGTAGATAGCTTTTTAGGAGACAAGCTGAGGAGTTAAGAGAAGGTGATGAAGGCAGGATTCTTTTATTGGGAACTTAGACAAAATATACTGACAGCCCTTGAATTTGCTATGAAATTGCTTTCATGTTGTGAATGAGGTAGAATAGCCAATACCTTTATAAGGAAAATATCTTTTATTTTTGTGTGGACATGTATCCCACCAAATAACAGTAGTCTCCTGTATCACAGAGTTACTATATTGCTCCAGCATTGGCAAATCAAGGCTGTGGTGAAAGTTTCAGACAGGAGTTTATGACATATTTGGTATTCTTTTGAAATCGGAATCCACTGTGTGTGTGTGTGCATGTGCGTGTATAAGAGGAAGAGGGAGAAGTAGGGAAGTAGGGATACTGAGAGGCAGGGAGAGAAGGAATGGGGATGAAAGAGTTGCTCTGATTTGTACTTTATGAATGTGTATCTCTTGGAGCATGAGGTAATCCTGGAACAGGAAAATGTCAAGTAAATTGCTACAACTCTTTAAGTGAAAATTCCCCATGGACATCTCTGTGTGTTTGTTCATAATTATTTTTTTGTGAGACGATCACTAGAAAATATGCTAAGATAGGTTTTCTTTTGTATGACCTAGTCTCAGCTTTTTAATTACATAATGCATTTTTCTTTTCCTAAAAGAACCTCTGTATTACTGGCAACAGACTGAAGATGATTTGACAGTAACAATATCGCTTCCAGAAGACTGTACTAAGGAAGACATTCAAATACAGTTTTTGCCTGATCATGTCAACGTTGTGCTGAAGGGTCAGAGGTTTTTGGAAGGAAATCTCTATTCATCTATTGATCATGAAAGCAGTACATGGATAATTAAAGAGAATAATAGGTATTTTTATAGTTTTATTTATATTTAAAATTTTATTTTTTATTATTTTACTTTTTCCTTGTTTTCTTTTTATACTTTTTGCAGTGGTCACATCATAGGGGAATACTACAATAGGTCCATCAGTATTGCTGATTATTTTTCTTAAGATAGATTAAAAATGAAATTACTGTAGTTAAGATTAAAAATACTATTATAGTTATTGTTTACATTATACTGCGTGCTTTTCATTACCAGCTCTGGATACAATAATAATAATAACAGAAACAATAATAATAATAAATAGGTGAAAGTGGTCATTTATTTAAATTTGTGCTTTTTAAACTTTTTAATAGAAATAATTTTTTTCTATTAACTTTAATTTGCTAATTAGTGGAATGCTACTCTGCAATATGAACCTCAAAAACGTTACGTGGACTGAAAGAAGCCAGAGACAAAAAGTATGCCCTGTGCAATTCCACATAAGTGAAGTTCTAGAACTGGCAGAACTAATCTATGGTGATACAAATCAGAACTGTGGTTACCTCTAGGGTGCAGGAGGATTGACTGGAAAAATGCACAAGGGAACTTCCTGGATGTTTCACTATCTTTATTGGGTTATACGGGCGTATGCATTTGTCAAACAATGAATTCTACACTTAAAATCCATGAATTGCATCTATAAATTACACCTCAGTAAAAAGAATATGTAAATAAAAGGTAAACAAAGGTTGTGTCTTGTAAGACTATAATCCTCTGTCCCAACTACCGTTCCTCTTTGTAAATCTATTGTTCCAGATACTTCATTCCCTAATCATTTGGATTAATAAAATTAGTCTCTTTCATTTTAGATCAAGTCTTAGTAATTATTGAATTCAGTGATGGTTAATGAATGGTGTTAGGCACTTAATTTTTAAAATGGTCAAATTTTGTCAGAAGTGGGTTAAAATTAAATATTTTTATTAAATATAATTCTTGGTTAGTGGTATTTTACCCATCCATGTGAGTCTTGATGTGACTCTGAATTCTGCTAGTCTAAGAAATATATATCTAGTTCAAAATTGTTTTTAAATTAAGCAGATACCCTGAAATCATTTTATTAATGGAGAGATTTGGTGACTTCGTTATACTTTTTAATGTATTATCTTAAAAACTCAATATCTGAAAGGTTCTTTCAAAAATATTTTATATTTCCATATATTCTATTTAAACATATCTTACTAGTGTGTGTGAGAGATGAGGATAGCATTTTTAAATTGGCAAACCAGCTGGAACATACTGCTAAATATAAGTCATCAAGCAGTAACCCAGCCAAGGTTTAGGAGAAGAGCTGGACCTTATGCAAATAGTTTCAGCATTTAACACATGAATATAGACCAGTATTCTTTTTTCATTAAATTTGAGGTGCTTGATTACTATTTTATGTTACAAAAGATAATTACAGTGCTGTGTTGGTGGTATCATTGGTTTAAAAACACATGATCTTTTTGTACTTGATTATATTATTCGTCTCATTTTCAGTAGTTAATGTTCCTTGTAGTTTTGGAAGGATTTGTTAACTAATCTGTAGTTTATTATGTATGGGGCTGTGTGTTCCTTTTTGCTTGGATGATAGGATGTGATTCTGGTTTTAAAATGTAGAAATGCATTTGTGCTAAAAGAGTAACATTGACTAGATATGCCAATTTAATGATGGTTCATAAATTCTTTATAACTAAAACTGTACGAATTCTAACTTCTTTAGCTAGCAACTGACTAAGAACAGTATTTATGCATTCTGGTCACTAGGTACAAGTTCTTTAATAGTTATTTACATATATTTTTTCAGAGAGGCAGAATAGTGCAGTAGTGAAGAACATGGACTTGGAGCCAGACTGCTTTACTAGCTTGTGACCTTGGCAAGTTACTTAACCTCTCAGTGCTTTCTTTTCTTACTTGTAAAATGGAGATGATAATAGTGCTTACTTTATTTGTTTGTGGTGAGCAGTAAATGAGTTAAAACATGTAAAGTACTTAAGATAGCACCTAGCTTACGGTAAGCATTAGGTAAGTATAAGCTGCTGTCATTATTTTTATTATCATCATTATCACCATCATCATCATCATTCAAGATTAGCTTTCTCCTTAGAAAATGTAACTAAATCTGGGCATTATTGACCATGGTGGTAGTTTTTAATGCTAATGATAGGAACTCATTACATAAGAAAGATATTATTTTGTATAGTCTCTTAAAATACAAGAAGTTTTAGAAAATTTTAAAGTACTGTAATTAATTCATGAGGTAGTGATAATAGCCTTGAAAAAGAATATCTGATAAGTTTGCATGTTCTATTTGATAATTACGATAATAGTTACTATTGTGTTCTTGCAATTGTTTCCTTGCAATTGTGTTCCAGGGCATGGGTTAGTATGGCCCATGTTTACCAGAGATGGCACATGGAAAAGGTTGCTTTGCTGTGAAACAGCTACCACCAACATCACTTTTCTCTGTATTATAGCAACAGCCCGCTTACCTGGATTTCCTTTCCTATTCAAGAGGCACATGGGCAACTCCCTATCCCATGTCCACAGTCTGCCCTGACTCAGCTCTCTCTCCCTTTTCTGCTGCATCAGTCCTTAATCTTAGTGTTCCCCGATGGGTCCTTTTTTATTGATTTAACTAACCTTCCTGATATTTAGGTTAATAATATATTATGGCTACTAGTTTGTGATAATGAAGGTAATTGTTGGCTCCACACACAAAGAGGTACCTTTAGTTATAGGCCCTTTCCAGTTAACTTTATGTGCCCCCCCGACCATTCCCCAGTGAAATAGCTCATAGATTCATGTTGCTTGCATTTTTCTATTACTGAAGATTGGTAACACACAGCACACCTGAACTGCAGCAGTACTTTCTGAGTGGTGTTACTCTTTCCAATCACTCCAGTGGTGCCTTCTTGTCTATTAGATCTATATTGTTTACCCTTGGATGATAGGTTTTCCATCATATGCAGAATGAAAATGAACATGATTTTTGGTAAAACATCCTCTGGACATCAGAGGGGTAATTTCTGTGGAAGATTCTTCTGTTTGGTATTGGTTGTGTAATTTGTATAGTTGCTTAATGTAACATTACTTTTCTCATCTTAAACTTCTAGCTTGGAGATTTCCTTGATTAAGAAGAATGAAGGACTGACATGGCCAGAGCTAGTGGTCGGTGATAAACAGGGGGAATTTATTAGAGACTCAGCCCAGTGTGCTGCAATAGCTGAACGTTTGATGCATTTGACCTCTGATGAACTGGTAAGCAATTGCAATAGCAGTGTGACTTCCCAAGGATCCAGAAGTATGTTATGTGAGGATTACACCATGTTTTTCAAACATTATTTTGCTTTTCCTAATGTAAGAGACAGATTAGGTATCACTGACTAGTGTTTGAATATGGCTTAAAATTCTAATATATATTCCTTATACCGTGTGAATGTATATATGTGTGTGGGCATGTTGTACATATAGGGTGGGTGTGCATGTATGGTTGTATGTATATATGTGTCTTTCGCTCTCTCAATATATGTACAGAGAGAAAAAAAGAGATATATAGTTGACACTTGAACAATGCAGTGGTTAGGGGACCAACCCTTGTGCACTCAAAAATCCAAGTATAACTTTACAGTCGGTCCTCTGTATCTCCTGCTCACATCCTCAGATTCAACCAGTTGGGTATTATATATTTCTGTAGTATGTATTTTAAGTGGACCTTTCCAGTTCAGACATGTTGTTCAAGTGTCAACTCTATCTCTGTGTATATCTATATTCTCTTTTAGAAGAATTGACTGACCAAAGCTGACAGGGACAAAAATTATGATTTTACCCCCTACCTTGCTAATAATCTACGTGTAGTCATTGAAATTTTCTGGGTGCTCTTAGAATATCACAAGGGGTGTTTGTGTGTATGTGTGTGTATATACATATAAAACATACAGCTGTGAGATTTTTGTTGAGTATGTTCCTACTCCGATAACATTTAAGATAATGTTAAGAATTTGAACAAATTCAGCAATACACCAGAACTTCAGTTATGTTCCTTTACCAAAACATATCAGCAAATTTAAAATGTCTGATTTATTGCCATCTGGAATTATAGCAATGAGGAAGATTATATAAAGAAGTATTTGTACTGTAGGTTAGTTGCATCCTAAGGTAGAAAGGAAAAATTAGAATATTGAAGGTCAATGTCTCTGACAAAAAAAAACATGACCAAAATGGAGAAACCAAGTTTCACATTTTCTAGCATAATGGAAAATTTCAAGAATCCCTGGAATTCATATGTATGACTCTAGAACTTTGATTTCATAGCCCTCTTGTTACAAGCCATGCAGACTGCATTGCTCTGTGTTCATTCAATATTCAGCAAGTATTTATTGTGATAGGGCTCTGGGGATATAATTATAGTGACAGTAGTGGGGGTTTGTTTTGAGATTGTAGATAATTGCTACTAACTGTCTTTTAAACTTGATGATTTCAAATGAATATTCATATATATGAGTAAGTTATTTATGCCTAAACACTAGTGTGGTTGTTACTTTTAAAATAAAAAACAGAATCTTGTCATCTCTAACTGAAGGCAGTTTTGTGTTTTTCAAATCTTTATACTTTTTCTTGCCTTACTGCATTGATTAGAACCTCTAATGCACTGTAAAATAGGAATGGTGAATAGTGAAAGCAGATATTCTTGCCTTATTCATGATCTTGGGGAGAAGACTGAATTTTCACTATTAAGTATGATGGATTCTTTTTATCACTTTGAGGAAATTTCTTCTATTCCTAGTATGCTAAGAGTATTTATCATGATGGTCATGATGTATTATTATTCTTTTTTACATATCACTGGTTTGGTTTACTAATATGTTATTGAAGAGTTTTACATTTATGTTTGTGAGGATTGGGGCCTATGGTTTTTGTTTTGTTTTGACTTTTTACTGTCTTTATCTACTTTTGGTATCTGGGTAATGCTGAGTTCATAAAATGAGTAGCGAAGTGTTGCTATCTTCTATTTCTGGAAGAGATTGTGTAGACTTGGCATTATATGTTCTTTAATGTTTAATAGATGTTGCCAGTGAAACTATCTGGACTGGAGTTTTCTTTTTTGAAGGTTTTAAACCATGAATTTAATTTCTTTAATAGTTATAGGATTATTTGGGGCATCTATTTCTATTGACTTTATTTTTCCTTTTTTTTTTCAGTTTCCAATTTCATCCAGACTGTTATTACATTTATTTCTCTCTTTTGCTTGCTTTAGATTTATTTTGCTCTTTTTTGAAGGTGAAAGCTTAGATGATTGATTTTTGACCTTTCTCCTTTTCTAATGAAAGCATGTAATGCTATACACTTCCTTCTAAATACTACATTAGCTGCATCCCCAACATTTTCTGCCTGTTTTCTTAATCCCGTTACTGATTGATTTGATTTGATGCTGGATTTCAGTTTTTTGCATGGCTGGTTTATTCTTTGTTTGTTCTTAGTCCTAGGGTGGAACTTTTCATGAGTCTCAACTGAAAGTCTGGAATGTTTACCAGGGTTTCTCCTCCTGTGTGGGCCCTGATCTCTAATTTTTGTCTCCCAAGCACTTTGATAATTATCAGAACTCAGCTTTTTAGCCCCTTATCCTCTGTTTTCCACTTGTCTTTTTCAGCTCAGCTTGAAATAACAGATAACTATAGGAAAGCAGCATAGTCTTGGGTTCTCCTTGCTATTCCCTTTTCTCTATAATCTTGTCCTGTTAAATACTGGCTGCTTTGATAGTCCTTAGCTTTTAATTTTTGCCCTCCCATCTCTAACATATGGGTAATTGAAAGGAGAAGGAGGGAGGAGTGGGGAGGGTGCTTTCTTTTCTGCTGGATGTATATATCTTCTTGAGACACTGTGACAAAACGGCCCCAGCTAATTGCTGGAATTACCTTCTCAGCCAGCCACTGCAACCAGAATTGTTTCATTGGTACTTAGAAAGGAGAAGACAGCCACAGCTACCTGGGGGCTTTCTTTTCTGCTGGATGTGTATATCTTCTTGAGATACTGTGACAAAATGGCCCCAGCTAATTGCTGGAATTACCTTCTCAGCCAGCCACTGCAACCAGAATTGTTTCCATTGATACTTAGAAAGGAGAAGACAACCACAGCTAGCTGGCTCCATGTCCCAGCTGGAAAATGGACAGATTTGATAATGTCTGTAACTTCCAGACATTTAGTTTCACAGACTCTCTGGTCCTTTCACATTAGGTTCTCAGTAACATGACTGCATTTTGGCAAACTAGTTGTGTGGACATTTTATCAGTTGTTATAGAATTGTATTTCTGTTATATGCATGTGAATGTATAACTTATCTTTTAAGTGATCCTTTTTTACTCTTTGAGGGATATAAGACCAAACAGTGATTTTTGCATTCAAACAGTGAACATATTAAAATTACTTTAATGATTCCATTTATCTCTACTTTGGGCATATTTTTCATGATACCTCTGTGTTTTTGTTTGGGTGGATATTTGTGTGTGTGTTTAGTGGTTGTTCTAGAGTTTATAGTATAACATCTTCATCTTATCACCATCTATCCTCAAAATATATCACTTAACTCATAACTTAAAAACTTTACAGTATATTTCCATTCCATCCTTTGTATTATTTTTGTCATTTTATTTCTATGTTATAAACTTCATGATATGTTATTATTTTAACTTTAGTCGGTCAGTTTTCTTTTAAAGAGATTAAAAATGCAGGGTGAAAAAGCCTTATATTGATCCAAATATTTGTCATTTCCTCTTTTTTACATTCCTTTGTGTTGATTCAGATTGCCATCTGGTGTCATTTTTTTCCTGGCTGAAGAACTTCTTTTGTCATTTCTTGCAATGTAGTTCTGCTGGATAAATTCTTTCAGCTTTTGTTTGTCTGCAGAAATACATGTCTTCCTTGTCTGCAAAAATACTTGAGTTCCTTCTTTTAAAGCTATTTTTGTTAAGGGTGTAAGTCAGTGCTGACGGTTTTTTTCCCTTTCAGAACTTCAAATATACTCCATTGTTTTCTGGCTTGTGTAGTTTCTGATGAGAAGTCAGCTGTCATTTGTAATTTTGTTCCTCTGTCAGTAATGTGATTTTTCCCTCCTGTAACCACTTTTAAGATTTTCTCTTTATTACTTGGAGAATAATTTCATTTTTCTCATTTTTAGCAATTTCATTGTAATGTGACTTGCTCTGTGTTTTTTTTTTTCTTAATGTTTGTTATGCTTGGGGTTCTTTGACCTTCTTTAATCTGTAGGATTATAGTTTTCATCAAATTTGAAAAAAATTGCCATCATTTCTTCAAAATTTTTTCCATTCTTCTTGCATTCTTCCAAATACTCATATGTTAGACCATTTGATATTGTTCCACAGGTCACTAGGGTTCTCATCTTTTGTGTGTGTTTTATTTTTGTCTTCTCTGCTTCATTTTTAGATAGACTCTATTACTATTTTAGATAGACTGTTACATTTTAGATAGACTCCAACTCACTGGTTGTCTTTTCTTCTGCAATGTCTAATCGGCTGTCAATCCCATCTAATATTGTGTTTTCCATTTCAGATATTGTATTTTCATATCTAGAATTTCAGTTTAGTTCTTTTTTATATCTTCCATATTTCTCAATGTGTTTGTTTTTCTTTACATCTCTGAGTATATAGAACAAGTTTATAATAGCTGTTTTCATATCTTTCTCTGCTGATTCCATCATTCTCTTTTTTGTGTCTGTTTTTAAGTTTTTATTGGTCATGAGTCTGAAATTTAATATTTAATTATTGCTGTAATCTTAACATTGTTGAGTATGAAGAAATTCATTCTCTTGTTGTTATTTATTTTCTTTTATGGTCTAAGAATCCAAATCCAGATAAAGGTAAACCTCCTTGTAATGCTCAAGAGTTAGAAGAATGTGATATTTTCTTTGAAGAGAGCTCCAGTTTATGCAGATTTGATGGCAGTACATTAAAAACTACTCATGTGGTAAGTTCTTGATAATGATATTTCTAAAAATTTGTGAATAAATAAAAGTTATTCAGATGAGATGATAATTGATTGACTAAATACTATTTTGCAAAGACAGGTTGATTGTCAGTTACTGGCTGTGACGTAAATTTCTTCACTCCCTAAAGTAGCCATCATTTTATATTGTCATCCCTAATTAAACAATGTTGTATGTTTGGCACTATTACATATTGATATCTTTCAGTGGGCTTTTTTTCTGTGCAGTTTTTCTATGTGTAGTTGTGCCTGTAATATATAACAACTTAATATCTGACTTTCCTCTCACTGTCCTTTCCTAACTTTTTTTGGATACTTAACATTTTTTTAACTAATGGCTGGGTATTACAATACTCAAAGGTGTTATAAAAATGAGCATTTTTTTGATTATACCTATGTAGACAAATGAGGTGGAATGGCATAAGACCAGTGGGTAGAAAGAGGTATCATTCAAGCTTGTACCAAAATTACTTACTCTTCTGATTAATTTCTGCATCTGCTTTGCTCTCCTATAACTAACTAACTCCAATAATTTCTAAAAAGCACAGAGATGACATTTTGCTTACCACAGTGTACCTAACACCCACCAAAGGTTCTGATTCTGATAACTGCTTAAAAACATTTTTAGACTGATCTCTTGGTGAGAGTCATAGAAATAGAAATTGTTTCAGGTGCATCTTGGATCTCAAGAAATTTGCATACACTTTTATATTTCCCTTCTTTGTCAATCACTCCTCTAACTGAAGAGTAAACAAAGTTCTTGGTCATATTATTTTATGCAATCTGGGCATTGATCCAAAGCCCAGATGATCAAAGTCGTTAGATTTTTTTAGGCGTTTTGCTTCTTAGATATTGTTTAGTTCTGACATAATCCCATAGATAACTCCATTAATGGTGAGTGAAGAGCCATTACACAATTACTCTTACTTCCTTGGGTTAGATTTTAGAAAATCATTCTTAAGTGTGACTGATGAAAGACTCTTCAATCTGACTAACTGTAGATTATTTATTCTTGAAGAATCTGGCCTTTCTTCCTAAAGTTATAGTCTTAGGAGCTATAACTTTTAGGTACTGTTTCCTGCCTAACTTTTATAGAGAAGACACCTGATCTTAGATGTCGTAAAATGTTATTGTTTAAGCTTAGCTCCTCCAAGAATTTCATTTCATTTTAGTATAGCACTACTAAGTAGTACTGATCAAGTAGTTTAATGTTGGTCATTGAGAGGCATCTAGTTAATGATACCTCTCTTTATTTGCTATGTTTAAGCATACTAAAAATTAAAACCAAGGAGTAACAGAAGGGGACCAAAATAAAACATTTATTATTTACAAATTAGGGTACAAAAGCCCCATCTGCTGACTAAATCCTAGAATTTAGCAATAACCTTAGTCACAGGCAGTGCCAAACCAGATCTGGCTGACCCTGGTGGAGCGGTGTAAACATCTTATTCCCTGAGGCCTCTAGCTCCTTAGAGGAAGAAGTTGATACTACTACTTATATACTTATATAAATATATACTCTCTTCTATTTTTCTAAGCTTTGTTGAAGTTCTCACTTTGTTCATTCTTCTCCCAAGCTCAGTGGGCATCTTTATGACCATTATTTTGAACTCTTTATCAGTTAAATCACTTATCTCTGTTTCATTAAGGTCTCTTTCTGAGGTTTTATCTTATTGCTTCCTTTGAAAGATATTCTTCTGTTTCTTCATTTTCCTTGACTTGCTGTGTTGGTTTCTATCCGTTAAATAAAATAGCCATCTCTCCCAGTTAAAGACGTGGTCTTATATAGGAGATGAACCTTATTGTTCAACTCTGCCCCTAGTTCTTAGTTGCCTCTCAGACTTTGTGATTGTCTGAGCAGCTTTTTTTTTTTTTTTTTGGCTCCCAGTAATTGAGGGTGTGCCAAGACCTGTTAGTGTCCCAAAATGGACGATCTCGGTCAGCACCTGAATTCAGGCTGGTTGGAAGCCAGACCCTCAGGCATCAGGGTTTGAAGTACACAAATGTGTACAGTCCTGTGGGATCACAAACGTAAGTCAGCCCCACTGTCCACCAAAGCCAGATGGTCTAGAGGTATACCCTGGGTGACAGTCGCAAAAATTGAGGCACCAGATGAGTATGCAAGCTCCTTTCCTGGAGATACCAGTGACTTAGAGTAAGGCAGAGGGAATGTGCGAAGATGGCAGTCACTGGCCTCTGTCCACACAGAGCAGCAGCACCTCAGTAAGCCTCTAGGTGTGTGTCACACCAGAAACCTACCACTACTCTGGAGCTTTAGGACAAGCAGAGAGGGTTTTTTCACAGAAAGACTGGGGTTGTGTTTCGGTCTGCCATCTCCGTTGAGCCCTGTAGTGGTAGTCAGCCAGGAACTGTCTCTAATTGCTATAGTCCCATGGCACCCGGAATGCGAGCCTTACTGGCTACCAGAACCAGGCAATCAGTGAGCATCCCCTGGGCAGAAACCACAAAAATCAGAGCACCAGATGTGTGTACAAGGTTCCCTCTGGGAGATTACTGGTGCTCTGAAGTGAGGCAGAGGAAGAGTGCAAACGATGGCACTTACTTCCTCTCCCTGAAGTATATTTCAGATGTGTGTTGAACTAGATGCTTGCCCCTCCTTCTTGGGAGGAGGTGAGTTAGTATCTTTCTGTCTTGAACCAGTATCTCAACTGAGTTAAATTTGAGGCCAAAGTTTCTTTTTATAATGGTAAGCACTTTTTCTATCATTAGTCATTTTTTATGAATATAAGGCAAAGATTCAGTGAAGTAAAAATGCATAAACATTGATGTTTGGGAATAAGTGGAATGGTAATAACTGGAACAACAATTAAGTACTAAGTCCATCTTCTTTCTGAAGACAGACCTGGGGACTTCCCTGGAGGTCCAGTGAAGGGGGTGCAGGTTCGATCCCTGGTCGGGGAACTAAGATCCCACGTGCTGTGCGGTGTGGCCAAAAAAATAATAATAATTAAAAAAGTAAAAATAAAAAATAAAGACAGATTTGGTAGGTCAGTGTATTGTATGAAAGTCAAGGTCTGTCTGGTCAAATGTAGCTTGTTCAAAAATAGTTTCTTCGTGTACCTAAGAGGATACCAGTTGGCATGTCATTGGGGAAGGGAATGAAGGAGGCTCCAATATTGTGGATATTCAGTGGTACATCCATTTTAGGCATCAGATAGTACTATATGGGTAATTCGTACTCCTTTCTGCAATGTTTACTTCAGATTTATCTTCTTGATTTCATTTGTCATGACGTTGGACAATTTGAAATTACCTGTACATGGAAAGGTCAGTATATGTCCTTAATTTAGAAGAAAAAAAAATACTGTAACAAAAAGGTCAGAACTTTATATTGTAAATGACAGATTTTCCAAAATATAAAATTCCCTGAAAGAAATGTAAATTAGGGTTAGAATTTGGCATTTGGAAAGTAAAATGTTAAATGAATATATGTAGCAGCAGAATAAAAGAGAAATATTAAATTTCAGAAGCGAAGGAGAAAAGTAATAAGATATGATCACTGGGGTGTAAAGCTCAAATCAGAATTTAGATACAGTTGAAGATGAATTATTTTTGCTTTTTTCTAGAGCTGTGTTATCCAAAATATTAGTCACTAGCCACACAGCTTTTGAGCACTTGAAATGTGGCTAGTTTGTTTGAGATGTGCTGTAAGTGTAAAATACACAACCAGATTTTGAAAACTTAGCATGAAAAAAAGAATGTGAAATATATTATTAATAATGACTTTTATATGAATGTTCATGTTGAAATGATAGTTGGTTATGTTTGGTTAAGTAAAATACATTTATTAAAATGAATATATCCCATTTCTCTTTACTTTTTTTTTTCTTTTAACATCTTTATTGGGGTATAATTGCTTTACAATGGTGTGTTAGTTTCTGCTTTATAACAAAGTGAATCAGTTATACATATACATATGTTCCCATATCTCTTCCCTCTTGCGTCTCCCTCCCTCCCACCCTCCCTATCCCACCCCTCCAGGCGGTCACAAAGCACCGAGCCGATATCCCTGTGCCATGCGGCTGCTTCCCACTAGCTATCTACCTTACGTTTGTTAGTGTGTATATGTCCATGACTCTCTCTCGCCCTGTCACAGCTCACCCTTCCCCCTCCCCATATCCACAAGTCTGTTCTCCAGTAGGTCTGTGTCTTTATTCCTGTCTTACCCCTAGGTTCTTCATGACATTTTTTTTTTCTTCTTAAATTTCATATATATGTGTTAGCATACGGTATTTGTCTTTTTCTTTCTGACTTACTTCACTCTGTATGACAGACTCTAGGTCTATCCACCTCATTAAAAATAGCTCAATTTCGTTTCTTTTTATGGCTGAGTAATATTCCATTGTATATATGTGTCACATCTTCTTTATCCATTCATCCGATGATGGGCACTTAGGTTGTTTCCATCTCCGGGCTATTGTAAATAGAGCTGCAATACTTAAAATTATATATTTGCCTTGCATTTTATTACTGCCAGACAACACTGATTTATAGAGATCAAATTAAATATAGCCTTGAACAACCAAAAGATGATAGGATGTTTTTAAAAAATTACAGTGAATTTTGCATATCAGGTAGTATTCATCATTTACTGCTTAAAATATGAGAATGAAACAGTTGAAAAGAATATTTGTAACTTATAAACTCACTGAGACAGTAAGCAGAGGAAGTACAAACAGGAAATAATTCTTTTAGATTAATGTCACTAAGAAAGGTAGTAGAAATGGCGTGTATTCAGTATACTAATTCCTTCAAAAAGATATTAAGAATTAATATCAAGGATCAGAGTTTATAGAGGAAGGAAGTACATTTAGAAAGTATCTAAATCAGTGGTTCTCAAGCTTTTAAGCTCCTTGAGGTACTGAATTTATAATTTACTTGATTATATCAAACTTGACTATATTAGAAATGAAGCTATATAATAATTTCCCTGCCTTCATGCTCAGAGTAGGTATATATCT